CTTGGGGTGTAATGGACGGCAGTAAAAGCAAAGAAACGAAATTAAACCAACAAAATAAATACAATGTATTGTTACTCCAACATATGCCACATGCTAATCTCCCAAGAGAAGGATAAACGGCAAAAGAAAAAAAGAAAAAAAAAAAAGAAGAGAACGTACTCGAGACCGACGATGTTTGCTTTTTCCTTTGTTTCGTCGATCGAACATGATATAGTCGGAAAACATCATTGGTACGTTAACAATAAGAAAAAACAGCGAAAGAAAAAGAAAACAGAGAAAGAACAAGTATATAATATATATATATATATATATATATATATATATATATATATATATATATATATATATATATATATATATATTATACATACATATATATATAATATATAAATATAAATATAGAAACAAAAATTGAACGGAAAACAAAGGAAAAAAAAAAAAATACGTAGAATTTGTTTTCTGCATTTCAAACATAACGATGGGTGACGCGGATGATTACGTTCAATAAGAACGACTATAGCGCACGTAAAATATACATTGATTATTTGTACATGTATCTCTATACGCACATACATAAAAGAAACACACGTAATGCCCAGACGTGATATACGTGTGCACATATATATACATACATACATACATATATGTACATATATATATATATAGATTGTCTGCATTACACGCACACACACACGTACACATGATACACGCGCGTGTTGAGACTCCATAGTGCGCAAGGATAAAAAAAAAGAAGGGCTTTACTATGTATTAGTCTGCGGTTTTGGCGGAAAAATTTGGTTCCTCTTTGATTTTATTCACGATCGTTTTCGTCCTGGTATTTCTTTCTTTCTTTCTTTTTTTTTTTTTTTTATTTTTTTGGTTACACTTCAAACGGTTGATCAAACTTTCTCGATTCTCCCTGTGAAATCATACTCGAGGTGATCTCGTAGATCTCGAACGACGATCATCCATTTTCTGTTGCTACATAATATTGTGATATTTTGGCACGAGAGGATTCTTCGTCTTACTTCTCTCTCGCGAGATTAACTTTCAAGTGAATTTCTATTTAAATTGATTTAATTAATTGATTGACTTCTGTTGAAATTATGATTATTTTTATGGACAACAATCAAATTGTTAATATTCAAATTAATTCTCAAGATTAATTTAATTTTTAATACCGGATCGTATTCTCTCGCCAGTTTTGAATGATCGTCATTCGGGTTTGTTGGTAACACGTGCTAGCGTGTTGCATTTTTGAGAGAATCATAGAAGACACGAGAGCACCAAGGAAAACGAACGCGGTTAGACGCACAAACTCTAAATTACAAAATAAAAATAATAATATTAATAGTTACAACAGAGCGAAAAAAAAAAAGAAAAAAAGAGAACATGTTGCACGGTGGAAAAAACAGCAAAATAAAATACTATATAATCTGTTAACATTGCAGTAACAATTGTTACGGATCTGCTATTTAAAACGAAGAAAAAAAAAAGAAAGATAATACGTAATAAATCTAACAATAATTAGCCAATTGCAATGCTACTGACAGCAATCAGGCAGTGACAATGATGCAAAACGAAGCCAGGTCACTCAACATCATTTGGAATTTATACAAGAGCCATGCCATAATCAAACTCCTCGACTTCCTCGAGGTAATCATTTGGCCTTTAAAATCGGTTTTACACGCTAATCGTATATCGCAACGTTAAAGTTAGGAATAATATTATATAGAAAGTGAATCAGCTTGATTTCTGAGCGGCTCGTATAAATTTACATATTTATGGTACAATGTTCAATTGAACAATATGTGAAATTCATTTGAGAAAACAGATCACAGAGAATATACAAAAAAAAAATTCAACATTCAAAAATAAATATAGATTTCTACGAAACAAAAAAAAAAAAAAAAAAAAAAAATATGTACGACTCATTAAGTACATGTTTCATGAGTGATCCTTCGTTCGTTTCATTCTCTCTCTCTCTCTCTCTCTCTCTCTCTCTCTCTCTCTCTTGAGAAGCTTTTGTAAAAATCGATACAAAAATGTTTTTTATTGCACCGCGATCGAAACGACCTGCTTAATGTCACAATGATCTTCTAACAAACAAAGATTCTACGAATAATAATAATAGTAATAGTAATAATAATGATAATTGTAAACACCATTCCTATAAATAATAGTAATAACATATAAAAATAATAATCGTAATAGTAATGATAAGAATAAAGTTTTACAATAACGATACCACCAAGAATTATTTCTATAGTAATAATTACGTCATAATAATAACATCAATGATCTATCAACAGAGCGACAGAGGTAAATTCTAAATGATCCTATCAGTAATAATAATAATAATAATGATAATAATAATAATAATAATAATAATAATTGTAATGATAATGAGGATAACGGTAATAATTGATAAAGTGTTGTATAGCAATATTAATAATTATCATACTCGTACTAATGATGGTAATCAACGTATTTTTCTTGACTTTTCTCTTTCACATGCTTTGTTTAACAACGAAATAGAAACATAAGTGCTGGGGAGAATCTGACGAACGACGAAGTGTAAAAAAAAAAAAAAAAAAAAAAAAAAAAAAACTTGAGAGACCGTGTAACTTTCACGCGGAAAATTAATTAATTAATCGTTATAATATTTATGCATATCGGCTGAACGTGCATGCGTGTGGGAGAGAAAGAGTTAGTTGCTAACACGGTGCGTAAGTACATCGATTAATTAAAGAGACGTCTTTGGTAATTGGCACGGAATACAACGCAACGAACACCTACGCCCCAACGATCAATATGATCCATCAGAAATCTATACAAGGCGCGGTGAAAAATTTGTTCACTGTCCAATCTGACGACTTATCGAAATGACAGAGTACTTGTGTAAAGTTTCAGACCGATATTCGATATTTTTAGAAATTACATCCCAATGTGCTAAATTTTTGTTAAATTTTTGCAAACTTATGACTTTCAAACGGAAACGGAAATGAAATTTTGAATATTACTCTGAATAGAAATTATGTTTCCATTCTTCGCATACTCAACATCTGTATAACTCTAATTATTCTCTGTTTGTGATGGATCATCTTGTGTACTACTTCTCTACAAATTTGCAAAAAAGGTAAGTATTCGTTGCTCCGTTCATTTGGTTTGACGCGTGCACGTAAATCGTCGATGAACGACGCTCGATTTATTACATTTGTAAAAAGAAAACTTTTTTAAGAAATTGAATTTTCTACTTCTGACAATGACAAAAAAAAAAA